GGGGGTGAGTGCCGGCGTGGTGGTGACGACATGATCATGAACCCACCGCACAAGTACACACACACCGCAGCACGCACCACACCACTTCCAACCCCACAGTTCCCTCCGCATCACTCGAGAGTCACCAAACACCGCCACCCCCCGCCCCCCCGGGTTACCTTGGACAGGTCGGGGAAGAACGCGTTGTCCGGGTTGCATACCTGCATACATACATGCATACATACACACGTAAACCAGGCGGGGTCACGGGGGCCATGTGGCGCCAGCTTGGGGGGGAGGTGGAGGGTAGGCAGAGCCGGGCCGGCCGTGGCTGGTGGTGGTGGTGGTGGTGATAGTGTGCGGTGGTGATGGTGATGGGGTATGTGTGTGTGTGTGTTTTGGGTCGCAGGCGGTGGTGGTGATGCGAGAGGAAGAAGGCCCCCTCCGGGAAACTACCGCTCAAGACACCGCACACGAGTCACGAGTCGTAATGCGACTGGAACCACACGAGAACCACTGCTCATCACGCGAAATGAAGGCCATCACCCACCAGGATGGCGGTGGCGGGGCTAGCGGCCGTGTCTGCTGCCAAACATCCGGGCGCTCCCCACCTCCCTCTGTACATACATACATACATACATTTCACCCACCATGTACTCGATGCCGTCAAACCCGGTGCCGTTGTGGTCCCCCGTCATCCCCATCATCACACTGGTGTCCACATACACGGGGTAGGAGGGGTCCTGGCAATAGGGGGGGACATAGACCGGGGGGAAGGGGTCCGGAGATAGGTGCGTGGGTAAGGTGTCTGGGTACGTAGGTAGTGGAGGAGAGGGGGGGAAAGACGAACCACGAACGAGTGAAGCTGCTGCCAAGGGAAGAATAGAGGGGGAGGAAGGGGAGGAAGGGGGAGGAGGGGCCCGCACGCCGCCAAATGGCTATCAGACCCAACACTTCAACACACGCACATAGCTACGGTAGTATCACTCACATACGCAGACCGCCAATTGCGACCATTTCTCCCAGCAGCAGTAGTGGTAGTGGCAGCGGTAGTTATCCGTCACAAACAAAGACACACACAACAAACTGCTACCCAGAATACACGTAGTAGTGGTAGTAGTGGAGGTGGTGGTGGTCACCTACCTGCACCGCCACAGTTGGCTTGGATCCAAACATCATCTGGATCCGGGCAATGTCGCACTTGGACCCGTCCGAAATGAAGATCTCGTCTGCCGTACGCAGACCCGAGTAAAAGGTGGCGGCGACCGCCTCGCGCAGCGCGCCCTGGCCCTGCTCGGCGCCGTACCTGTCCAGTACGGAACAACAACACATGCACACAAATACCACCGCCGCAGATCAGCATCCCTAAGACATTTAGCTTCAAACGTACATACATACACACATCTTCACCGCGGCTCACATCATTAAAACAGACACACACACATAAACACACACACACACACCTCTCACAAGGGGCTCATCCGGACCTCCCCCCGGTGTACTACCCCAAGCCCAACCCCCCCGGCCACTGAGGGCGGCTTCACTTCACTCTACTTCACTCCACTGTAGCCCCTGCCATCCGGGAAAACCCCCACCCGTTCCTCCACCACCTCGTGGGGGGACTACTTGCCGACCTACTAGACGGGCCACACGTCCTAACTGCACCCACGGACACACCCGCGTACCCCCGTACCCGCTGTAGCCCTCCCGGGTTGCGAGGCCCGCAGCTGCCCTGGCCATGGCGTCCGCAATGTACTTGGGGAGCGGCTCCGTCGTGTCGCCAATACCCAGGGAGATGATCTGAGGGGGCGCATGGATGGATGGTAGTGTGTGGTAGTGTGTGGTAGTGTGTGCCGGGGTTCATCACACAGCGACATAGCCAGTGGGGGTGGCGGGAGCTCGGGAGGCGGGGGGTGGCGCTTGTCGAGTTCCATTCCACGTCAAGCCTTTTGATTCCCCTTGATTTTCGACCCCTCCCCCAAAAGCCATGCAACTACCAACCGTGCGGGGTGGTGGTGGTGCTTGCAAACCAAACTTTCCAACCAAACATTGCCTTCACTACTCTCCTGCCGGCCAGCCGGCTTATGGTGGCGGTGGCTAAAGGGGTCCGATGGCATCCACACAGGGCACAGGGCTCTATTCAGACTTGACGATGCTGGTGGTGCTGTCGTCGGTGGCCACAGGACAATATCACACTGCATACCTCACTGCTACTGCTGATGTTGCCACTTCTGCTGCTGCTGCTACAGCTTCAGTAACCTTAAGCAAGCACACGCACACACACACGATTCATACACACACACGCACACAACCGAAGCCCCACCCATGCCCTGTGTCCAAGTGGTACCCCCGCGCCCCAGCCCCGCACTCCCCTGGCTGCATCCCTGACCCTGACTGACAGACTGACAGACTGACAGACAGGGCCCCACTCTTAGAACCTCTCAGGTAACCAAGGTGCTGGTGGGTCCTGGGCCCCCCTTCCCTTAAAAAAGGTCCTGATACCTCTACCCCAGACTGCCGGCGTGCACACGGCTGCACCGCGCGGCCTATGCGCGTCTCCCCCCGGCTCCGTCCCGAGCACCACCACCGAGGTTACCAAGAGGTCCCGACCCTCATGACGGAGAGGCATAATGCTCACCTTGGCATCGGGGTGCTTCTCCTGGTGGGCCTTGCGGCGGCGTGCAATCTTCATCCGCACAAAGACGTTGACACGTAACGGTAGGTGATCCGGATTTGAAAGGAGCCGCCAACATGGATAGAAGCGGTGGGATAAGGTTCGTTGCCTTTAAAAGTGCGAAAAAGTGGCGAGGCCGCCCCCTTCGGCGATGAACTAAAGAAGACGAAGAAAACGAAGAAGAGACTTTGGGGGGAACCGTCCCCTTTAGGGGAAGAAGGGGGAGACGAAGGGGTTCGTCTTCTTTAGTTCCCCCGTACAACAAAGTTTTGCACCTACGTTAAACAACGTTGTAATTGACTACAACTAGTCCCCTTTAGTGTTCCCCGAAGGGGATAACGAAGGGGGAAGAAGACGTAGGGGTGTTACCCTTCGGAACTTTAGTTCATCTTCTTTAGGGGGTTCCCCGAAGGGGTTCCCCCCTTCGTCATCCCCTAAAGGGGAACACCGTCTTCTTTAGGGGATTCCCCTTCGGGGATGACGAAGAAGAGACTTTGGGGATGACTTTGGTTCATCCCGAAGGGGAACCCCTTTGGCTCCCCTTAAAGGGGTTCCCCTTCGGGGAAGAACTAAAGGGGAAGAACCGAAGGGGAATCCGCCCCTTTGGACTCCCCGCTAAAGGGGAACTTTAGTTCTCCTCCTTTGGGGAACTTTAGTTCCCCAACTAAAGTTCCCCAAAGGGGATGAATTCCCCTAAAGGGGAAGAACTTTAGGGGATGCCGAAGGGGAAGTGGGAGCCCAAAGGGGGTTCCCCTTTAGGGGAAGACCGAAGGGGACAACTAGTAATAGCTATTTCACAGCGTATGTTGCTTAACCAGGGCTTTAAACACTCTTAAGCTCATGGAGGCCTGGTTCCCCTTTAGTTCATCGTCCCCTAAAGAAGACAACCCTAAAGAAGACAACAAACTTTGTTCATCCCCTAAAGGGGAACTAAAGGGAATGACTCCCCTTCGGTTCTGCATCCCCTAAAGTTCTTCCCCTAAAGGGGAACGACCTTTGGGGTTCCCCTAAAGGGGATGACGAAGGGGTTCGTCCCCTTTAGTGGGGGATGACGAAGAAGAGACTTTGGTTCATCCCCTTTAGTGTGTTCCCCCTTTAGGGGATGACGAAGGGGTTCCACTTCGGGGATGACGAAGAAGAAAAATGTCTAATAATAAAATAGCCATTGCTAAAGTAGGTAATTTATTACGTACTGGAGAAACACCGTTACAATAGTTGTATCTGTTTGTAGTTTAATGGAGTTTAACTACATTCTCCAGGGGACGGAGACTTTGGGTTCCCCTTCGGGGATGACGAAGAAGAGACTGTGGGACAGGCCGTGTTATTGAAGGGGCCACAAACAAGGCTGGAGCGATCCTTATGGTAGCTGTCGTCGCAGCGGTTTTATGAGTGACGTCAAATCCCAGCGCGTTAAAAGCCGCTAAGATCGGCCATAGCTGCGTGTTTGCCCCTCCCCGCCCGGTCGGGGAGGTACTTGGTTTGCAGTCGAATGATGACCAAACCACAGAAACGTCAATTGCTGTTACATACCTCAGGGAACAGGTAACCCGCACGCAGCTTGCCAAAGTTTTCGTTCCTGTTCACATTCAGGACACCTGCAAGTAAAGAGCGTCCAACGTCGAATTCCGGGCGCCGAACGTGCACTGGACACATATATTAAAAATCCTTAGTTTATCGATTGCCAATCCTGGCTTACCAGGCTTTTCAGGCGCCGCCACGGCTGTGATCCTGACGGCGCGCCTGCCACTGCAGCAAGGGAAGGTTCATCAATTATGTTTCTCTGTATAAAAATATGAATAAAATTCTAAGTCGCAACTCACACTGCGGAGCGCGTTGGGACCGCGTTGCGAGCCGTAAGCATGTTGACACGGCGATGGTAACCGTCCACGACAAGTTAAGGATAAAATGAAACGCCAGACCAAATTTTAGATATAATATGTTAAGTATGTTGCAAAATCTTAACCGCATATACAACACTGCCGTACTGGAACTGATTGCTTGTTTTCACCTGTTTCATCTGCAAATGATATGTACAGTATGACATGGTGAAACAGATCCTCCGTTTCTGGAACCGCCTTCGAAAGCAAGTGGGATCCATTGCTCATGCAGTTTTGCGGCAGGAGATAACCGATGCCCTGACCAACCCGGAATGGGAGGGTTGGGGAGCCTCAATGTTACGACTGTTCTCCTTCTTGGAGTGCAATATTTGGAGTGGAATATCGCAAGAAGTCGTGGGGGTAAAGGAGCGTGTTGACTGGTTGCTGAGTATGCCTCTACCCGAAGGAGTGATGATAACGGCACTAAGAGAGCGTTTGATGAGCGGCTGGGACCATACGCGTCTGACTGTCTTGCCAGAGGAGTACCCATCAGATGGGAAGCAACCGGGAGTGCAAATGGCGAAGTATAAGCACTGGATGGGGCTGCCCTTTTCGGGAGCCGCAGCCGTCATGTGGCCAACACATGCTAAGGTTTTCATTCCTCGTTTAGCACATCGTAAGTTAATGCAGTTTCGTTTATGTTGCTGGGCTCTGGAGGCAAACAGAGCACGAAGGGGCAAGTACCATGTCCCCAGGGAGCAGCGGTTTTGCCGCTGTTGTGGTACTAATAGCCGAATTGAGGATGAAAAACACGTGTTATTGGAATGCCCAGCCTATAATGATATTCGTGCTGAAGAGGGATTCGATCATCAACAGAGCATGTTGGAGGCCATGCAATGGGAACCAGTACGTCTGGCGAGGAAGTTGGAACGTATGTGGGTGCACCGAAACTCAGTTACCCCCTTTGGACGCTAGTCTGAGCTGATGTGCGGTGTTTCCTGTTCTCCGTGGCTTTTAGGCGTTGAAGTATTGCCCTTGGGCCTTCGGCTCGTATGGGTAGTTTTACAGGTATGGGGTCACGCACCCCCAACCATGTAACACACACACACACACACACATATGTCGCTTCACACCCGCAAGTTTGAGATAGTTAATATTCAACGGCGGTTCGGTGCGTCACAAGGGTTTAAGTGGGTCACCCGGCCTGGTAACTTGTACTCCATCATGGACCTCAGTCTGAGTCGTGCATTGATAAGCTTCATAATGCCTTGCAACGTGCCATGCACTTAGTCCCATGAGGTACATAGGGTCACCTCCTACCCAGAATTGCCGTAACGTGCTTTGGTACACATGTTGGGTCCCTTCTGTCGTACGGTGTACACGTTTGAGGTCCGCTACTTATGGTCCATTGCGTAGAGCGTTCTGTGACGCTAATGGGGATCGTGCTATTGATCAGCGTGCCATAGAAAAACGCATGGCGGAGCTGCAACGCACCATTTTTGAAGTACCTTGATGGTCTAGGTAGGCTTCTTTATCATAGATAAGAGATTTTGCCCAACGGCCGCAGCACCTCCACCCGGTCCCACTTTGCGAAGGCAAGCGATTTCCCGCGGAAATCCGACTAGCCCTTTGGTCGGACCTTTCAGGCACCGGCTGGGTGCCCACCAGTGCCCAAGTCATTTGCCACTGGCCTAGAGCTCGAGAACCAGGTGGACTTTTTTGCAAATATCCCGTCCAGCAATCTTCACGATCAATCGGCGCGTTTTCTCCCACCTCGCAAAATTGGAATGTGATGATCGCGAGCCAGGAGCAAAATGGGGTGAAGTACATGGTAAGCTTTATTCCTCCACAAGTCTGTATGCCTCCCTGCCTTGGCATTACTAGCGCTACGCGGCGGTTGGCTGGTAGTAACAGCTTTATTCCGTTTTATCCGTTTTTAAATTTAAAATCCGATTTAAACTCTTGAATTCCCTTTCTGTTTTCTATAGCCTTTTACGGTCCATGAGCATCCCGGCTCTTTCTGGCCTTCTGGGCCCATACGAACTTGTCGTCACATGGCATCATAACTGCGTCATCTAACGCCAGCGCTTGAAGTTCGTGTGGAAGACATTGAAAGCTTGTGCTTCGTAAGCTGAGTCAGGGGCATGAGACGGGACAGAAGGGCCTTGGTACTGCATACACAGCCAGTCTGGGCTGTTTTTCTACACATTGGTTACTTGCCCATACCCTTCACACCTTCGCACATCGGTCCATAGTATATCATATTGCATACTGCCACTAACATTACGTAACGACCAGCACATATCATATGTCAACTCCACGGGAACCCACACATCCTTAGATGCCTATGCTTAAGCGATCCCAAAACAAAACGCCTAAACAGCGACAAGGTTTCCCCGCTCCTAATCATGTGTCATGTCACAAGGTTCGATAGGATCCATGTGGGGCGTCGATAGCAGCGCGTGTTATGGTCGTCAGTACGGTCAATGAGGACGCACCCTGCATGCGGTGGCGGCCAGGGCAGCCCTCATGCACACTCAGACTAATACGACCAAAGATCATCGGAACCAAAAACCTTGAACCTGGTGTAATATTGTGCGGGGAGCCAGGTACAATTAACACAATCAAGAACTGATACGAGTATACGACACCAATACGCATCGCCCGAACACGAGTAACCGGCCCAAGTACCAGCATTTCCTTAGATGCTCGTCAGCTGCGCGCGCTCAAACAGTTCAGCACATCTCCGGCCATGGTGGGCCTTGTGTCCACATATGCTGCGCGAGTTATAACGCACATGTCGGGTAAATGTCTAGGTGCTCAATCTTGCAGCAACTAATTCGGTATAATATCACCCTCTCGTCAGCTCACTCTTGTCACGCCATTTCCCCAATGGGTCGTTATCCCAAACAATGCCAAGTCAGTTTATGATATTCGCCTGCCTTGCGTCCAGCTACGCAAGCGCGCCATTCAGGTCGTCAACCATCCTGCAGCGCACTGCATCTTATAGCCCTGTCCCGCCAGTCCCCTAGCTAGCTTAGCAGGTAATGTCTATGCAGACAGTCAAACGAACTACCTAGCTGCAAATGCGAAGTGAGACGGTGCCACCGCAGGTCCGCTGCTCATACCCACACCATGCTTAGAGATCGTAACCTAATGTCAGCGGTCCCTGCAATCGCAACCAGCCGGTATCGGCCCGTAAACTCACCCGCGGCAGGGCACGGGTTTGCCCTTGCCTGCGCAACCCCCTCGCGAAAAGCACCAATCGTAAGACTACGTTTGCGGTTCGTCTCAAAGCTGATTGCGAAGACAGTCGTCTCATCGAATTGGACAAGCGCGCCGATAATCTGCTCTCCAGCTTCTAGCTCGTATTCTCCTGCCTCTCCCAAATCGCTCCCGTGCTGAACAGTTGCCGTGCTGCCGTATGTCAATTTCAAAGCGTAGACCATGCTTTCGGTGGCGCTGGTGCCAGCGCGGTAATAGATTCGGGTGATAGGAGACTTGCCCCAAGACGCGTATGCGAGGTCATCAAACGCTGAACCGTCAGTTGTATCACCGTACGGTCCCATAATGAGGTTGCACGCGTCAGGCTTAGGCGGTGGTGGTGATGCATAAGCACTGCGCTCGATAAACATGTTGGTGAAGTTTGTCTTGCCGAGATCAATGACCCTGAAGTTATGGATATCCGGAAGCTCCGACCCGTCTTTCCCTGAGCACGCGAAACATTGGGGGGAAAAGATGTGAGCGACATTAAGACATAATGAGCTCCTTATAATTGTTAAGGTATCTCAGGACACGTCGCAGAGCCGTGCTTTCAGACCCCCGACACCTGGCCAGATTGTACTGACCCTAGGGACGATGCATTGAGAATGCGTACGGGAAACCTATTCTCTATGTTTTCTCTTTCCCGCCATAGAACTCACGCATTGGGACACACTGCGTCGACATGCAAAACGTTGTTTCGGTCCAGAGAACCGTCAGCCTTTCCAGCGCACCGCTCCGCTCAACGTGTGACCACGGCATCTTTGGGCCTACTCCTCCAGGCAGGCGCAAATGGAAGTCCTGCAAGGTATCATGCGCCGAACCCACAGATCAGAATAAAAAGAGGGGTCGCGGGTGCAGAACGACCCAGTAAACCTAGAACTACTGACCAGCATTTATTGTACTTGCCTTAGCCCACGGCGCGTAGCTAACGCGCACGCTTGGGTCGATGATCGCCCGTTTGGCGCCCATCCGCCTGAAATCCTCGCACAGCAGCGAGCACTCGCTGATGTCGCATTCCCCCTCATCAAGAAGACCACTGCGGAAGCGAACACCTACAGAGGCCAATGGCCAAGGCCACAAGTTAAACCCAGTATCAGGCATCCCTTTCAAATCCTCGAGCCACATGGAAATGGAGATGGGAACAGTACGATATTGCAGCATCCATTCCTACGCACCAAAAACCTTGAACTACGGCCAAATACGTACCAGCATAGAACATGGTAGCATTAATCAGAGCTCCCCCGTTCCAGCAGCACTTGACCGGCACAGGCAGGCCACGATGAAGCAAATCAATTGTCCGAGTGTCACGAGCAAGAGGATCCTCCTTGATGAACTGCATCACAAAATGCACGGTAACCAATGCCATCTGCATGCTCCGAAATCATGGGCCACTGGCCTACTAACTTACCGGGTTGCCACCCAGATCCTTAGATACCCATGTATCTGTACGAGAAAGCGGGAAGGGATGAGCTTGCAGGCGTCTATGCTTTCAGGTTAACAGGCGAGAGCGAGGAATTTCCACGTACCGTAAAACTCGTATCTGGGTTTCACCTGGGCCTCCTGCACCCGCGCCTCTGCTTCCGCTTGTCGCGTGGCCTCGTCTGCATGGACTTGCGTCATGCGCTTAACCACCGAGTGCCAGTTTGCCCGACCCGGAAGGATGTCAAGCACAGCTGATTCGTTATGTTCAGCCACCAGGTGAGGGTCGTGCGTCCGTGCAAATGCGTTCGTGTGCAGGTCCAACAGGCGACGCGTAGGAGGGACCAATGGTTGATGCGCTGTACCGGCCACGCGTCCTTTCTTATCACCGACCAGCACCTGCACCAATGTTACGCCCCAATCCCTCCTCAATTATTAGGATAACACCGCAATCACAACAACGCGGCACATACCTCAAAATCAAGGCCACAGGCAATATCAGCGCCGAAATGGGTAAGCCGGAGGAAGTCAGGCGCACAGAAGAAGACTGCACGGCGCGAAAAAGCGAGTCATGCCATGCAAACCCATAAACTATCAACAATCGTCCATATAATGCAATGAATTCATGCTAGGAAAACCACGAAACTGCCGCGACATGAGTTAGGTGTGAAATGGAGCCATTGCACAACGCCGTACATGCATCATAATCGCAATGTCCCCTTTTCCATGAAAAGAAAATCAATCAACAGGCCAGAGAGCGTGGTTAGTGTGTATCCATGGTCGGCACGTACCGTCATTAAGGAAAATGACGTAATTGTATGTTCCGCTCGGACTGTTGTACAGCGGCTCAAGAGCGGCATTTCGGAGCGCTGCTGCGTACTGCATACGGGAGGCAAGTCATGTGAGATCATTCCGATGTGCCTCTGTGCGCTGCTGTCATGACGTGCCCCTCACAACCCGTAGCCCACGCACCTGCACCTTGTGCTGCTTGCTGTACCGGCCGGAGAAGGGGTCAAGGACAAGACCGCGTTGCACCGGCCCGTTCACCACTATAGACGTCTTCATCCCAGCTGCTTGCCAAAGAGATTCTGCAATCCTCAGCCACGTTGGCGTGCTGTCTTTACTACCGCTTTCATACACAGACACGTGTGCTGCACTCCCGGACCAGGCTGTAACCTCATCAGCAGTAACGTTATGAAAGTAGACATGAAGCATTCGACTGTTGCCTTGGAGGAGGAAACCGAGGCGCAAGACTTCCAGCGTCCAGTACTGCACGCAACAATCATGCGATCGAGTCAGTTGCTAGTCACAAAGCCATCAACATCGCCCACCACCTACCGGCATAAGTGCCTCGCAATCCTTTAAGTTGGCTGCAATCATGTACCGAAAGCGGCCTGGCAGCCCGCGAGGAGCGCCAGGACGCTCAAGGCAAGGTGGTGCGACGCCTAGTCCACGAATCACCGCAAGCAATTCTACTGCATCAGGAAGATGAGCCTGAACATCATGTGGAATGTCTCTAAGTGCCCTTAGCCCCCGAGCGAGCGATATCGGTGGCACGGTGGACATCGCTGCAGCCAACGCCTCAGAAACCGCTTTTGCTGCTGAAGGTGACTCTTTTGCCTTATCTCGCAGAGCATTTGCGCGCGCCTGAATTGCCGCAAGCTGGGCAGCTGTTGGCTGTGGCACTTTGGGAACGAAGAAAGATAAGTCCTCGTCGTCTGGCGGCCCGGTAGCACCAAATCCATGACTGCATCGAATACCCCATAGAAAAGAAAGCACGGCAACTTGTACAAGGTAGAACCTCAACGAAGCCATCTGATCACATTGAAAATCCCCAGCACGTCACCAAAACATGCATCATAACCTTTAGTCTATAACGAAGCGACTGAATACGTAACTTGCATGCTGTGCCAGTCAATTGATGCGCCCTAGGCCCACCACTGCACCGACTTTGCAGTAGTACGCCGTTGGCCGTACACTTCAGTTTTTACTCTCGCCACAGACCAACTGGGGTCTCAGCAACGCCGCATCATCCCTGATGCTGTCCAGGATTATGTTTTCCACTACAAGGAATAAAAGAACATCTTGATCAGTCAATGTATCGCAGTCGCACTGACTGAATGCCCGCAAACAGACTTCATGAAGCGTTTAACTAGTTACTTGGCCATAATTTTTTGCGCAACAAAATTGTGTGTTGCTTTGCTTCATCAATCAATGTGAGTAACTGTCGCTTTTCCTTTTCCTTTTCCTTTTCAACCACTTCGTAATCCTATATCTCAAGAAGCACATGTGAGAGGATGTTGAAAACTGCTAGGCTAGATATCTACACAAGGATTGTTCGCGTAGTCTGACACTAGATTACACTAGTAACATTCCTTAAGTGTGGACCTTGAGCTGCGTGTTTCGCAGTAGATGGTATGGCACGTCGCAGACAACTCGTTATCCCTGGTTAAGGGCGTAGCAGTTAAGGATGGACTTGCGACTCGGCCAGACCCCGCCCAGCGTTAAACTCTCAAAGCTGAAGCATGCCTCCGTGAGTAAGGCAGTAAGCTGCGGAACTCTGAAATGCGGGGCTCAGCCGCTGTGGCGTGCCTTCGCATTTTCCTGCCGTAAACCAAAGCCCACCTTGCTGTGCGGTAGGCCACCGTAAAACAGGTAATGACATTGTCGATGCCTGAGATGCTCCTCTGTATCCCCATGCACACGGACACGGAAATTTTCCCCTAACAAGCTCACGTCAAGCAGCCTTCTGACCACCTGGGTCACACAGTGTGTAAATGGCAGCGTGTGAAAGGCGGAATAGGGCTTCAGAAGCCACGTTGTAGTAAATTTCCCGGTGGGAGACATGTGCGGCCGCTGTTGCCACTTGCCACCGGTGTAACATTGCTCTCCTGCCCCACCCCATACACTTTGTCAACCCTGTCACCTTGTCATATGGTATCATACGGCCCACGGCTCGACCGGAAAGCCAGGAGCTAACGACACTCAGGAAGCAACGAGGCGCCATAGCGGCACGCAAGACAGCTAAGCAGCTCACACAACCAGGCACTTTTGACATGGAGATTCTTCTTGCAGCGATGCCAGGATGGTGAAGAAACGGTGCGTCGCTGCTGCGACGCATGCATCATGCACTGACCCACGTCAACGTTCATGCTGGCTATGCGGGTGGGGCTCTGAATGGAGCATTAGGAGGCGGAGGCCGAAACCCGTACCTGGACAGCTGGGATGCAATAGCCTGCAAGCAGCCCACGCCTTTTGTGCAAGGCGGAGAGCCGTCATTTCCTAACCTTTGCCTTCCCTTCGTTTGCTTAAAACCCAATTTGGCATAGCGTCACTAAGCCAAAAGTAAGGTTAATCGCAAAACGTATTGCAAGCTGGCACGTGGCAGGAACCTAAAAACGGGTCGGAATCCATATGGCCTTCGATTGGGTCCTGCTCGGGCGAAAATGGTATGCCGGATGGCATGTTCGGGTTTATTGCTCTGCCCGCAATTCTGTCTTCGGCTACTCCGGCCCCGTGTGAAGATCTGGTCGTGTACGGCGCTCCCGATAATCGGTCCCAGTTGAGTACCCACCACTAGTTCTGTCAGTTCTATGGACGCGTGCTTCCAGGATTATCAGTCAATTCAGCTGACGACTGGGTGACCTGGACCACGAACAGCAGCTTATATGGCAGCCAGCACGCTCCCTAGTAGGTAAGATGCATGAAGATGCGTATTTACGCAGATACTAGACCAGGAATGTCCCTGCATGGCCATGGTGATTGCCTTCCCAGATAGAGCACTGCGAAAGCCCTGGGCATATGGGCTTCAGCTGCACATAAGGCTACGGTGGTTCGCCTTCCGAAAGGCGCGCTGAGCCTGGAATGCTGTATGTGGTATTGATAGCTCTTGGAGTGGCAGAGCAGGATTTGGCAACACAGTGTGGATAGGCAGTGGATGGCGCTTGCGCTTTCAGTTTTTTTGGATGTACAGACAGCGAGGGTTGTCGGTATGTCGTTGGGTTTAGGGAGTTTGGATGGGGACAGGGTAGTAACCGTTTGGCTCTGGGGAAAAGCGTGAGAAAACCACCTAGGAGGAATCCCATGCAAACGGACACGCTCAGGCTCTTGGAAAAGCTTATGTATCATCGTACCAGACTCCCGTTACATTCAACTCCTGCCGTTAATTAAAGCTTGGCAAGAGCTCATCTATCTTCGTACCAGACTTCTGTTACACTCAACTCCTGCCGTTAACCGCAGTTTGACAGGTCCGTACTTCGACCACTGCACGGAACTGAACATTGATTTTGCAAAAACCGTGACGTTTTACGGATGCTAATACTTTTACGGTAATACAGTATTTTGAACCTGTTGGCTTGCCCACCTAAAAGGTGGGCAAGAACTTAGATATTGGATGAAATGGACGAGCATGCTCGGACTGAGACACAATTACTCTTTGCGCAATCCGGCAAGGACGTCGTAAATCGACGCGCTGTGTTCCTGGTCTTGGTGCGCTATTTTTGCATTGGAGTTAAAAGATGGTGAAATGCAAAGCGCAGATGTTCGGAAGATGTGCAGTTTGAAGAGGTGGCCAGAGGGATGCAAAGTGGTCCTAATCCTCTAATCCAGGGGGTGGGTACCGGTCAGCAATCCTCTAATCTCAACAGGGGTGGACCACTTCTAATCCCTAATCCAGAGTGGTGGTCTAATCCATATCCTAGGGTCGGGGTTCTAATCCTAATCCTGTGGCCGGGTCCCAATCCCAATCCTGGGGGGGGGTCCCAATCCTAATCCTGGGGCCGGACGGCAATCCTAACCCTGAGGCTGGGGTCTCAATCCTAATCCTGTTGGTCGTGTCGTAATCCTTATCGTGGAGCTGTAATCGTGTGACTGATTCGGTAAAACCTTGATTTTGGCTGGGGGGTCCAATCCTAATAGAAGGGTGCCGTGACACGGAAACACAGTGCCATACAGGCGCGAGGCGATGGCAATGCAAGTGCGTAAAAAAGCCCAATGCAATTTTACAGCGGGTATATGATCAAACGAAGTAAAACTTGAAACATAAAAAGCAAGCTGCGCACCCTGGCCGAGGTATGGCAGCGTCCCCAAGCCGTGGGTCCTCTGCCGTTGGGGAGGGCCCTTTGTACCGAGGCTCTCTCCCCTTGGGGAGCCTGAGAATCTCCCCAAACGATTTTCCCTGGGGAGTATTTCGCCGTGGCTGAAGCGCCCTCACCGGACGCGCCCGACGAGTTAGGGAAGGTCCAGCAGTGACTCGCGCCGCCTAGCGCCATCGATTTCCCGCAATCCCGGCGACCTTCCTGGCCCAGCACCATACCAGTTTGTACGGCATGTACACCCACAGTTCTAAAGCTCCGCAACAATCCTCAAGAGCCGGACAAAACTTGAATATATTTCAGCGTCCCAATGGAGGAGATTTTCCGTGTTTACTTCCAAAAGTCCTAAAGTCGTTCACATAGATTGGGGTCTGGCCTTCGGCAATGCTTAAGGCCTATCGCATAAACCAATACAAGCCTTGGCGCTAGGCAGTTTTCCTACAAACGCCGTTCCCGAAGCCACTTCTCCATGGCTCGGAAGGTGCGGCGAGGTTTCTCATTATATAATTGTTTGCCGATACTCATAAGTTGCCATAGCTCCTATGTAGAAGACGGCAAGCACAATGGTCGCGGCAGCCCTGCGCAAAGTCTGCGATGCACTGGAGCAGGTTTTCACCAAATTCTCTATGGACACGTTCAAGGCCCTAAGTGTTAAGTGAGTACATTTATGGGTTGTTTTCGCGGAAAATTTCCGGTTACCGCCGTGTTGCCATACCATAACCCTGAGGCTCCATGCTCGACTTTAGGCAACTCCCGGCCGTTGTGCTTGTCGTTGCGTCCCCGACGTCCTCGGAGATCGAGTGCCACGATTGGGGCTGGATGAGCGATCGTCGGCTTATGCCACACCTCGAGCACTTGGTGAAGAACGCGTACGCAGCAGGCACCTGCACCGCAGGTCCGAGTCATAGCTCGGAAACAGCAAGCAGACGACATCCAGCGTCCCGAGGCGGAATCCTACTTCGTAAGGAATCTAGGGCGATTGGCCTGGCAGGCAAGTTGGAGACGGCATGGTGCTGGGGGGCTGGCAACACAAGCCTAGTTCTTACCGCTGTACTATCTCCTGTAGGTGGTCCTAGAGCCCGCCCTGCAGAACACGTTCGGCACTGCGGCGCAGTACGTACCGCATATGTGCAATAAGGGGGTCACCAAGGACCTGTCAGCCAGGCAGATTGCAAGCTGGGTGCCTTCAGTCCGGTGGCCCCTGCCCCTGCGGTGGCAGTTGTATGGCCACACGTGTTGCCCTGGGTTTCCCATGCATTCCCTTGGTGAACGCACAGACTGTGGATCTACGGAAAAACTGTGCTTGCAGCTGATTGCATGGGCAGAGTCACGTGGCGAGCGGTATGCCGCCAAGGTGGCAGAGTGCGTAACGCTTTCCCATGCTATGTTGCCCTGTTTGGTACTTCCACACTTTCATTTTGCCTTGCAGGCTGCGAGCCACGAGGGAGGAACTGACGCGGAGTTTTGAGGTGGATATGCATGTAGTCGCTGCATGCTTTCAACATCGCCAATCATGTTTTTGGATGTGAGTGCAGGAAGGGAAGCAGGCAGCCAAGCGGGCAGGGGCACGCAGCATGGCAGCTGATTTGCTGGATGGGAATCTCAGTGATGCAGAGTTCCTTGAGGAGGATGTGGTCGACGTGGGCGGCAGAAACGGGCAGATCTGCCACAGAGCAGGTAATGTGTGGTGGTGGCACATTGGGCATTATTGCATTGCTGACCGATGGTACCCATGTACAGGGACATCGACGGTCGACCAGCAGCAGCTGCAGTGTGCCTTTGAGCATTTCAACACGCGGAAGAAGAAAGAAGGCATGTCCGAACTGAGGGCTGCACTAGTGGAGATGGGTGTGAGGCTGAGCCGGAAGGAGTTGGGTGCAGCACTCAAGACTCATGGGGCCAGCCGACACCGCAGCAGGTGGGCCAAACCGCATCATGACTGTCTTCTTAGCACATGAGACATGCTGTGAGCCATGGAATGCTGGCGAGATAGTTCGTAATGCAGATGACTGAGGCCTTTCAGCAGTTCGATCAGCTTCGTGAGATGTTCGGTGAGGAGGAAGCCATTGGCATGGTAACCAGCATGGCTGGCTTCAAGACAACAGTCGCGACGCGCAAGAAGCTTGTTGATGCTGGGCTATTGGAGGCACGTAAGTTGGGTCTGGGTGTTCTTGTGACTAGGAGAAAACATGTTCTTATGAGCTCTCCCCTTGCAGGCAAGCGTGGTCGGCCTGGATGGGGGCTGAGGTCTGGTCATGCAGTCAGCGCCGTCAGCACTGATGATGACGGTGCATTGTATTCAAGCACAGGAGAGGACGGGGCTGGAAGCACTTGCAGCAGTCAGAGTGGTGGCGCCGATGACCTGGACCCTGATGCACGGTGTGGTATGCGGGTAGACAGAAGAGGGTACCTGGGGTGACATGCTATTCTGTGATGGATGTGATGCTTGCTATCACATGACTTGCCTGACACCACCACTATCCAGAATTCCTTCTGGGGACTGGTATTGCCCACACTTGAGCCCGTTGTGGACATGGCTGGTGCCGCATTGGGCCCCAGCACCAACGGTGGCGGTTGGAATAGCAGCCTTGATACAGTGTTGGGGGGCGAGCCGGTGCAGCTGCAGCCTCCCACGCACGCTGTATTGAGCACCCGCGGCAGCAGTGGGGATGATGGGGTGTTCGGTCGCGAGACAACACGGTTGCTGATGCCACTCATGGTCTAATGGGCCCCACTATCGGCGGAGGTGTCAGAAGCGGTGGCGGCAGAAACAGTGGCGACCAAAGCAGCGGCGACCAAAGCAGCGGCGGCCAAAGTTGCGGCGGCCAAAGTGGCGACGGCCAAAATGGCGGCGGCCAAAGTGGCGGCGGCCAAAGTGGCGACGGCCAAAATGGCGGCGGCCAAAGTGGCGGCGGCCAAAGTGGCGACGGCCAAAATGGCGACGGCCAAAATGGCGGCGGCCAAAATGGCGGCAGCCAAGAGAAGCGAGATGGCATGGCTTCTGCTGCCCACTCACACCGTGCTGGGCCCTGGTGGCAATGGAATGATGTGGTCGCTGCCGCATATCCATGCCGTGTTGGGTCTTGGTGCGAGTGGTGGAAGTCACCGCGGCAGAAGCAGTGGTGGCGTAAGTGGCTGCTGTGGAAGTGGTGGAGGTGGAAGCGGTGGCGACGGTAGCAGTGGTGGCAGAAGAAGTGGTGGCAGAAGAAGTGGTGGTGGAAGAAGTGGCAGCGGTATCGGCAGCGGCAATGGGGCCTTAGGAGGCGAGCTACCGCAGCTGCAGCCGCACCTGCATGCTATGTTCAGCCCTAACAGCAGCAGTGGTGGGGGGATGGGAAGCGGTGGAGCAGGTGGAAGGGGCGGCATTGGTGGGACTTTAGGGGGTGAGCAGGTGCAAGTGCCATGCATGCTTAGTGCATGCAACGGTGGTGATGGGGCCTCAGGAGCCCAGATGGTCCAGTTGCCGCCGTCTATGCATGCCATATTTGGCTCGAATACCCGAGGGGGAAGCAGCAGCAGTGGTGCCGGTAGAGGACGATTGGGCAATGGCGGGAAACGGGCCGCACCTGATCAGGGACGAGGGAGGGTGAATAAGGGTGGCAGGCTTGCAGCAATCCTGGAGTCACTAAAATGAACTGAAGATGCAGTGTTGGTTTCACTGCACTGTGGCAACGAGATTGGTATGACACAGGTTCCAACGTTGGGAAACTGACACCATGTCCGTGGCGGCAGAACGTTAAGCCCGTGCTGAAAAGTCATTGCAGGGGGCGCGGTCACCCTAGGATATAACCGAATTGCATTGGGATTCTAATATCATGAAGGTCGTTGTGTCAAATTTTCAGGGCGATTGGAGGGGGTCGACGTCTGATGTACCGGGTTTCGCATGGCATTTGGGTTCTCGAGTGTGGCCAGAAGGGGAGGTTCGAAAAGTTGAGGTTGTCCCTTCCAAGCCAAAATTTTTGTTTGTAACCTTTGTTGCTGATTGAAAAGGCCTGTATAAAATTTTCAGGACGCGGGTTGCTTGGCAGAAATCCATGTCGAGATATGTCGCCATGTCCGTATGCCATGGCCAAGGTCGACCGTTGACACTCAACTCTGACACTAGTCAAGTTTGACATTGTAAACGAAATGACGCCCATCACAGCTCACGGCATCAGTTCAGGGTGCGGCTTACCAGTATGTCGGCATCGGTATCGCGGCTGTACGTTCCGGAAGGCCATCTCCATGAATGCCAGCTTCCCTGCTCGAGAGCAAAGATGGGTAGGCCTGTACCAGAGTCCTTGTGGCCCTAATGCTATTACACCTTGTAGGAAGCAAGCACTGTGACCCCATGGCTGCCTCGTTGAACCCTGACCCATTGCTGTTGTAACATCTGCAGCCTGCACCTGCCAGATTTATTGCTCAATGCCCAGCCTTCAGCACAATGGCTTTGCATGTGTCCTGCCAGCATTAGAGACCTTGAAACGGTGAACGATGCTTCCCGAGATACCAAGATACTGTAGGTTGCCAACATGTATATATACAAAGATATATCCTAAGAGGACAACAAATAAGACCAGTAGGCCCATGTCCATAGTCCAGGGCAACGGAGGGGGTTACCCTGGGGCCGTGCTACCCCTACCACAGTGTAGGACCTTGCAAGAGGGTTACCAATGGGCTACCGGGGGTTGAAGGTGGGTTATCCATGGTTTACCGACCCGATCAGTGCCATAGGGCTGTGTGGGACTGTGACAAGCCCGTGGGTGCATCTGCATCACGACCCAGGGGATGGTTGCGCGACCTCTGGCATGCCCACCTGCTAGCTGGGGGACGGCGCTTCCACTGATGGAGTCTGTCTGGGACTAAGGCACTGACGTCGTTGCACGCACCCCCCTGACCCACGGGTCGGTTACCCTTTTCCTAACTGTTAAGAGGAGCGCTCAGGTGGCGCACTATGCAGCATGCACCACATGCACTTTGCTGAGGAACATTACAATGTGCCGTGGATAAGAGCCCTGGCCATACAGAAGGCTGTTCAAGCAGCTGTCAGCAATCCAAGTGGTGGCAGCATCCAACCATGCAGCATATGTCTACCGAACAACAACACGTGCATTGCCACCTTTCCCCGAATACAACCAGAGGATACCGAGCCGTCATCGCCTCACCAACCAATATCCGTGATATTCCATTCCCCAAGCCGTGCATCCCATACACGGATAATAGCTGCTTACATCAACGAGGCACATCCTGGGTCGTTTGCAGCAAGGTGAACCCCTCGAGCATGCGCTGCTGCCATGCGAGGTGCAAGAGCAGCAACCTTGCACGACTGCTCGTTGCAGCCACATTCTGAGTTGCCCCCTCCAGCAAAGCGACCCGGCAGACATCAAATGCTACAGCACACTCAACTTCATTCTAAATCAACGCCAACTTCTCCTTGCACCGCGCTTCCTCCTGCAGCACCCGGCGCAAGCTTGCCTCCAATCGTGGCACCCCATGATTTGACTGTGCAGCCCAGGGATACCGCTGTGCATTTAGCGCCTGGCCTAGTGCTCCCTTCATGGCCAATGCCTGCCCAAGCTCCGGTGTCACCGCTCCAGGTACAGCACTCCAGCTAGTAAGCTGCTCCCAAAGCTGCACAAACCGTTGCCTAGCGCGCCTTTTCTCCTTAATGGCCAGCTGCTGCTGATGCCGCCGCCCGCTGAGTCGCCATACCACGTGCTCCAGGGCATGCATGTCGGCTACGGCATCCTGATGGGTTGGGTCAGGGAAGGGGGTCAGGAAAGGGTGCAACATTGAGAGGGGGCCAAAGCCGCGGTGCAAAAGTGGGGCACGGTGGGAGAGAAGTTAAATCTTATCCAAACAAATACAAACTTGGCTTGCAGCCTATTACCCGGGGTTTGGGGACCTTGGGTGATGCTCAATCCCTGCACACAACACTCGGCTGGCAGACAAGGAAACAAGAGCCTACATGGCCCTGTTGCATGAAGACCCTACAACCTCGCAGACTCACCTCCGCCTCCGCAAAAAGCTTCCGCAGCTCTCCTTTTGCCAGGCTCCCCAGCGCCGCACTCATAAGCTCAGACTCAGGTCCCCAAGCAGCGGGGTCATAGGCATGAGCCTTCTCAAGATCGGTAGCCCGGGTTTTTATTGTACGGATAAGGGCTGGGCGCTGCCTAACCGGCACAGAGTCAGCACCAGGGAAGAGCAACCCAAGCCGCACCGCATCAGAACTGGCATCGAGGGTGTCCTCCCGCTGCAGCTTCTGAAGAGCGAATCGGCAGCGAGCATACTCAGCCGCTGGGCTGGCAGGCACCACGTCAGCTGCTTCCAGCTGCCAAGGCTGCTGCTGGAGGGACTGCTGTACCTGCACATGTAAGGATACGTTGGCATTACGATTTCACTGCTAAAATACCGCTTGCTTACCACAGCTGCATCACCGCCCTTCTGCTCCAACGCGGCCCCAAGGACACGGATGCGGTGTCTGGCACTGTCCAGGGCAGCTTCAGCCCGGGTATGCATTCGCCACAACCTTGCCGGTAAATCCCTTACGACATCCCTGCAGTACAGCCGCGCCACGCGCTCCAAGTGCGCTGGCTCGCCTGTCCCCTGTCCCACGCCGTGCACCCCGAGGTGCCCAAACGCTTTCTGGCATGTGTAACTGCAGGGCAAAGGCAAACAAGTATTAGGACCGCACAAGGCCCATACGGTGCTAAACACGCACCTGTGAGCATATCGGTGCCAGGGAGGAATGAGTGGGCGCATGCCTCTGCCCAGCCGCTGCAGGTCCGGCGACTGGCGTTCCAGCCACTTGGCGTATGACTTGTCCCATCTGTAAAAGTAGAACGTGTGAGGTGGCCACACAACCACCACACACCGTGCCTCAGAAGAACTTACCTGCACGCGATATCGTACCACCAGTACTGTACAGCGGTGCGAGCTGCAAGGAAGGACAGCGCTGCAGCAGTGGAGTATGCGTGCCGCTCCCCACTGAAGAGGTTCATGAGCCGCAGGAGCATCCCATGCCGGCATAACGCGACACCGACAGCCGTGATGAGGTTCTGCAATTGCAAGCCCCGTAAATCATCGAGAAATTCAGGTGCCAGCCGTCCAGACACATCATACCTTCCTTGATTCCGCCGCCAGGACCTGCAAGGCAGAGGGTTGGACAGCGGCAGCACGGCACAGCACGGCAAAAAGGTGGATGCCGCGAATTGCGTGGCGTAGTAAGCACATGGTGATTGGGGGGAAAAGGCAAAGGCTGCTCACTAGAAACACGCCTTGGCTCCCGACCCACACCCACCTTGTCAGCATCGAAGTTCGAGCAGTGCGTTACACCAATCTGCTGTGACGCATGACCGTCCAAAGGCACCTGCTGTATCGATGCGTTGGGCAAGAAGTAACGGCGCTGTCCTAGCTGTGTGTAGCCAGAAACGTAGCCCTTATGGGACAGCAGATTTAGCTTAAAGCAGGCATCGAAATGTACCGAGTGCAAGCTCGTGGGGCCGGGCCCTGCGGCTTCGGGGCTGCAGGTGTCCCGAAGCAGCCAGTCAGTCGACGCGAGCACTGATTACCTACATAAGCTCCTTGGCGAATAAATGCCCCGGGCACGATCCTAATACCCTAGCACTTCCGCGCCCGTGGACACCGCTGCCGCCATGGTTCCCGGGGCTGCTGCGCCGGCTGACGGGACTGGGGGGACGGGATTGCCCTCAGTGGCGGCAGGGCTGCCTGCCGCCACCTCTGTGTGCTCCAGTCCAGGATCCGGCCCCTCCACTGCTGCTGCTTCTTCCACGACCCCCGGCGATGCGGCACCGGTAACAGGGGCTGGGGCGGCTGCGGCCGCACCGTTCACTGCACTGCTGCACCTGAGAGTGTCCCCACAACAAGGGCATCCATTCAGAGCTCCACGGGGCCAGGTGCTAAGTGCGCCCTCCAGGTAGTCATCCACGACACCCTGGCAGTCCATGTACAGGAGGAGTGCTTGCCGAAGGCGTTTACGAAGCGTGGTTGCCGAAATGGAAACTGGACGGTGGATGCCATTTTGCTCCCAGGTGTCAAGGAGCGCAGAGCAGAACGCGTCCGCACTCAGGTGCCTGCTCCTGAATGACACAAGGTCGAACAGCTGCAGGAGCGACTGGTGCCACCAGAGAACATGCTGGCCGTCTCGCTGGAGGTGGAGGTCCCACCCAGCCTTAGCGTCGGGTAGGCAGTTGAACTCTGTGGGACGCATGTTATGAAACGCCCGACAGGGCGTTCACCAGCACACAGGGACATGTACGCATATGGGTCGCTCCCAAGTGATGATGGTCACAGGGCAGGTCCAACCCCCTTCCGGGGAGCGCACGGCGCACCGGGGGCACGCTTCAGGTCTGCTTCCCGCCAGGCTGAAAGTACGGCAGCGCTGCTGCTCAGAAAGCAAGTCCGGCTCTCCTTGGCTGCTGCAAAGTCACGCACGTACGCTTCCCGCACATCTTGTGCTAACGTGGACTCTGGTCCGGGCTCTGGTTCTGGTTCCTCCTTGGCTGCGCTGAAACCGTCAGCATCTTCCGATGCTTCCACGTCGTCAGCGTCTTCACGGTGAATCGGATCAAAATCTTCGAGCTCATAGGTCGCGTCGTTATCAATGTTCACCGGCTCCTCTTGCTTGTGACAGCTACGTTTGTCGGAAGGCTCGGGGGCTGGGCATTCCGAATCTGCTTTGCTCTATCCCGTCGCCTTTTATTCCTCTTTGCTTTGGCAATGCTCTTCTTAATGGGGTCCTCGACCTTCATCAGCGAGTGAAGGTAGCAGTCACGAATGAGTGGCCCAATTTTTGGTTGGCTAGTGACACTTAAAATTTATTTGAGGAACACTTTCGTGATAAAGTAACTTGATGTATTTGAGGTCTTTAATACGCGTATTTCATTGATGTCATTTGCACCATGACCGGCTGCTGTTCGTCAATGTTTTACCACCGCCGTATAGTGATGCATGACTACAAAGTACAGAGATGACATAGAAACATGAATCCGAGCTCTTACATGTAGGAAAATACAGGTATCCGTCGAATTAGGCAAAGTCCGTTGCACCGCTGGAGGAAACTTAGCGCCCGCATACAACGCCCACTGCTGCACTCACGCTTGCAATCTCACACCTCACACATCGCGCAACCTCGCCGACTCCGTTCAAAGCAGCGAACCTGGCTAGCCATGGCGCGCAAATGGGTCGAATCCCTGTACACGTCTGCACGCCCCTCCAAACGTTATGTCAAATTCAGCCCTGGGAACATATGACGCCAAACAACGAAACTTCCCTACACACCACGCATGCCCGTTTGCTACAAGCACGAACGAAAACCCTAAAACCCTAAGTCCTGGCTCGCGACACATATGTGTGTTGCTCTGGCTACTTTACTTGCCATGTTCACTCCATCGTACGGCCCCTTCTTCCTGTTCCTGACCCACGGCTTGCCCTTCGTCCCCGCCCTCCACGAGGCTTACGAACCCCCCTTGGCCCCTGGCTTCCTCCCTGGCCCCTGCTGTGACTGTGTCTCCTGCCCCGGGCCCTTCCCCTTGCGTGTTGCCTTCCGCGCTCCTCAGCCAGCCATTCCACACCAGACCCAGAGGAGTCATCCAATCCACCTGCTGTTGCATCGTGGGCAGTTAGCTTCGATATTCCTGCACGGTACATGGCCTGCGTCTCCTTGTCAAACTTCAGCACAAGCTTCTCCGCGAAATCGGCACTGGTAACCAGTTCGTGTGGCAACTGCTCCAGTGGGTAACTTGCATCGTGCCACCTTTCACGCTGCCATTCCTTTGTGGCTCGGTGTGCTGCATAACCGGGGAAGTCTCTGACCAGCCACACAACGGCCTCTGGTAAGCGGCGCTGGAGCTCTGTCCATAGCTGCTTGTTTTGACCGTCATTCCCGTTGCAAATTCGTCGTATGGTAATGATTGGGTCGGCAATACTTTCATTAAGGCCTGCTGACCCGGCACGGGGACGGCTGTGGTGGTGGCGGCGCCGTATGAACATAATCTCCTCACACGTTGCTTGTGAGCTTGCAGTGTCATCACTCCCTGTCGCTCTTGTCTCACCCCCTGGCCCACCGCTGGGTGCTGCTGCCCGATCCCCTGACTCATCACTGGATGCACGTGCACCATCATTTGGCTCATCACTCGAGATGGCTGTCCTGTAACGTGCCCAATCGCCTGGCCTATCCTTGTCTTCTGCGCCACCTCTGGATGTTGCTGCTTCCTGGCGGCTGCTGCTGCTGCTGCTGCTGCTGCTACTGACGACGCTGTCCACATCACCCGACTCTCCTCCGTCAGTGCCATCTGTCTCAATCTCTGCCAAGGTGTCATACTGCGGGTATTGTGGGGTGGAATGTTAGGCAAAGCACATTGGAGTGAGGCAAACATGTACTTCAGGCACTCGAAATTTCATGTCATTGCGTGCTTGCAGGTCAATCCCTTCACTTAGGCGGCTGTGGCTTGGCAAGATTATTATCCTCCACTCCGGTGTACAGAACCCCACAACTGTTGCGTCACATGATTGTAGCTTCAACACAGCACACGTGTATGGTGGGAGGTTGCTGTAATCGGTATCCACAAGAAAAAGACCACGGTGATGTAGGCCGACCACAAAGGTGCTGAAACGCGTGCCTCGCCTTGCGCCTCAAAACTCAATTGGATAGGTAACCCCCAAACCAACCTACCAGGTACTCTGGCCACTCCAGTCCTTGTATGCCACAGCTTGTACAGGTGCCATCCAAGCACGACATTGCTGGATGCTGGGCGGGGCATTGCTCGGGGGCCTTGCACAGTGCTGCCTCGTACAGTGAGTCAGCAGTGAGCGTAGCTGGTAACGCCCGGACACTGTCTGAATGGCGGCGAAGCCTTTTGATGCTTGGGCGGAGTGGCAGGAGCTGACGCTTGCTTTGCACAGCAGATACCAGCCCCTCATAGTTGATGCACCTTACACAAACGCATACACTGCGTTGCTTTTCCTGTATGGACACATATAAAAATATAGGAAACAGTGTCTACAACAAAAAATGCCAATTCATAAGCGCAAGCAAGCATGTTCGCATGTAAGCCTGACATACCTTGAAGGGCTTAATCCACTGCGGATTTGCACCCCAGAAAACACCGTATGACACAGGTTTAGGGTCGTCGTACTTCAGTGACCTGACATACTGCAAGTACAGCTGCTTGTAGCTCCGCTGGACGAACTTGCGCGGCAGGTATGACCGCACAGATGTGATGCCGCCGGGCACTGTTACCCTCACGTAGTCGTCGGCCCGTGGGCTGGCCTCGCTGTTCGCCAACCAGAAATTTCTAACAAAATGCAAAGTTTCCTCGCTGGTACGGTCACAGCGTTGTACCAGCCGGTAGGGTTCATATGGCTGTGTGTGTGACCCACTGATGACTTCCTCGTGACGGCGGGCGTGCAGTCTAACTACGGTTTGTTTTAAGCCTAAGCGCTTATTCACAGCGGAAACAAGCCGCCCTTTCATTACTGCTTGACCTGCACACGATGCCAACAGCCAGGAAGGATAGTGGCACATGGCTGAAGGACATGCAACCGCCGGTATTACATCAGTGGCCCGAGGTGCAATTATACCTGACACAGCAGTAGCAACGGCACTCCATCCAAGCTTCAGGTCCCTGCGTTGCCCACCGGTCCGCCGAGTACAGTCTAGGTATTCACGGACTGAGGTCGCGATGGCTTCGTTGACCTCGACGGACTGAAACGCCTTTGGCAGCCGGTCTTTGTTTTTACTGTTGCAAATGCCCTTTAGCAATTGCGCTAGCTCGTTTGGAGTGAGGTCGGCTACCTGCTGTAAAATGTTCTTTACCCTCTGAGAGGACATTTACGTTACACTGCAGGTACGCGTTTTACTTGTGGAGCTGTAGGTACAATGCAGAATACGATACTTTGTATGATCAAAACGCTCTTTATACAGTGAAACGCTTCGTTGCAGCATCTTAGGAAAATGCCGGCGAAGTGCGTAACAGCGCTTACGGGTAACGCCGACGTAGGCGAATTTGTAATGCCTAATGCGCCGCAGCGCACTTCTTTTGGCTTTTATTAACTTCATATTGCTTGAAGGTCGCGCATTTGCAGGATTCTGCCCATGGGCGGGCCCAGTCTCAGGTATGTGAGATGAAAGCGCGTACTTTTGGACGTTGTTAGTCTGCCATCGGCAAAGCTGTGACACCTAAGAAGCTATTATAAGTTTAAGGTACTTGTTTGCTCATTCATGAAAGCGCTGCAGGCTTGTGTGGCAATGTCTCAGGGAAGCCCTCGCGAGCTGTTTTTCCGCATTCAAGCGTACGAAGTCTAGGCAACATGCATGACCCTGCTCTATTCAGTGATACTTTTGTTATATGAATTGTTTCGTGGAACGGCAGCCTCTGGCAAGAGCAACGCACTCGGTATGCTGTTACAGCGGAAGTTGCGGTCACAGGAAACATACAGGATGTACGTTCCAATACGTCCCTATACGTTCACACATTATGGGTTCCCACTCCATGGCTCCAAGCCTTAAGCAATTGTTTGCTTCAAATTATGCTACAAATAGCGGGTTTTGGTAAGCGTGGTCCAGTAAGCGTACTTGTGCGCGTACTGCGGCATACCATGGACGTTGCTAGTCTGCCGTCGGCAAACCTACGTGACGATTTCACACGCGTTGTGGCACCCAATAAGCTACTATAGATATAAGGGACCTGTTTGCTCATTTATAACAGCGCCGCGGGCTAGTGTAGAATTGTCGCAGTGGAGCCATCGCGAGCTGTTTTTCGGTGCTTAAACGTCATCGCGTGATCCGTACTCACTACTAACTTATTGTGGGGAAGGCCATTGCGTCTGCGACCACACTCCCGCGGTACCCAAACCCTTCAAAGACAATTCCGATCAGCCATTTGGCTGTTAGTGGGAGGGCGGGTGGGCCGCTCGCACGGCAATCGAGTAGAGAGTACGAAAATAACCTAATGCAGTCATCGACAGCAGAAAACGTAAGCCTCCAGCCTCATGCCGACTCTCTTACCTACCATTCATATTCTCTACCTCGTTCCCAAGACTCCGCCGCGTTGCCTCTAGTTCGGCTCGTGCCACAGGTAACTTCGCTCGTCGCTACTTTGCCATTCACCTTCGCCTCCACCCAGCCTCTGCTTCTCCACAGAAGCGGCGACCTCCTTCGCCGTTGTTACGCCTCGTCTATGCGAATCCTCCTCATCCGACTGTGTCTTCTGCCTACCCGGTGCGCGCCCCCTCTCTCTGCGCATCCTTTTCTCTGGCCCTCTCTTACGGTTGCCTACCTTACTGCAGGACTCGCCCCTTGCCTGTCCGGTGCCGGGCAGGCTTTCCTTGCCTTCNCCGGCCCTACTTGG